TATTGTCTATATACGTTTTACTTAGTAAACATTGGGCTTTCATACAGTAAAATAAAATACTGCGACTTTTTGCGATTTTGCTGATAAAATGAGAAAAACATTCTTGGTTTCCTCTAATTTGCCGATCAGTGATATACTAATGCGAGGTGTAAACCGCGATGGCATTGTGTTGTACAAAGCGATCGCATTAGTGCCATTAGCAGTATAGCACAATTTGGCATTAGTAGCGACTTTAGTGGTATGGGCATTGCTCGCGGATCAGTCGTAGCATTAGTAGTAGTTGCGATATTACTACTGGCACTGACCGTGGAAACACTGGAACAGTGATTTTTCTTTCTTTTTTTAGAATCGACGAATTATCCTTTATTTTGTTCATATTATTTCCTCTTTAATTGAAAATAGCAATAATTTATACAAGGTCTACATAAAAAAATTTCGATCAACTATCAGTGTCAAATACCCCACTGTGCGACGCTCTGTATAGAGTATGGTACTATAAGAAGAAGATATTATTTCAAAAGCAAAAACATAATGGTATACAGCGTAATTTTGATCTGCAGGTTCAAAACAAAAAGTGCTGTTATATTTTTCAGTTTTCGCTGTCAGCCGCGGAAGTTTCAATGATTTTAGTGTTGTCGGATATTTTTACTTGTGAAAAAGCTTTTTATTCACTTTCATTTCTTAACATGACAGATGCAGTTCTAAAGGGGGATGTTTTGTGGTCTCGATTTGAAGTTCTCATACGAAGGTTCCTGGACTTCTAATATATGAATATGTCTCGAGGAAGCGACTGCACTGTACCACTGTACTTCGTTGCTACCTAAATATGTTAGCGACATAATTTTGATCTCTATCATCTTCAATTAAAGTAACTACATCGGATACAACTCCTGGACTTAAAATCATCTCTGCTAGAGTAACTGCCCAACAGACAATAATAATATGATTTTTGAATTACAGTGACATTACATAAATCGTAAACACTATTTCATCGGTTTCATATATAGGGTTCATCTGTTGACTGGGACCAAAAGCAAAGGTATGGTTTTAATGTAAAAATTACGAAAAAATGTTAGTGTCTTCTTCAAAAGCGAATACCTCCTAGATGATAAAATGGTTTTTAAATTTCTTGCTTTTTTAACATAGTCCACAGGGTGTTCCTAACTTTCACCAAAATAACAACATTTTGTGTTCCCTCGTGTAACTGACTGAAATATGGAAACTTTCATTTTTAATCTAGAAAGAGATACTAAAAAGTCAAATAATTTAGCTACAAATTGCTTAAAAAATTACCAAAATCGGCCCACTAGTACACAATATCTAAAACTCTAAAATGTATCAACATTTTAGTGTGTCCGTTTTTCGTGCCCGTGAGTGTAGGTGTTCTTTCATCATATTTGTCCATATAAAACTGGTTGATTTGGATAAAAATCTATATTTGAGCAATAAAACAGAGCTCGTATTTACTTTGTACTCACTAGATTTCGATATGCCATTAAAAATACTAGGGACTGGTGAAGCTCTACGTAAAAAAATGCAAATTGGTTATATAGGGTGTCAAAAAATAGTGTATCTAACTTCGGTAGGTGATTCTGCTGGTAAAAATAAAACAAAAAGTTCCTATGAACATATATTTTTAAAAAATTATACAGGGTGTTTTATAAAATATGACCATTGAGTAATCACGATTCTGCTTAAACTGCTTGGCGTTTAAAGCTGATTTTTGGCAAACAGATTGACTGTTGTGGGGTGGAGAGGTTCGATAAGGAGGGTTTCTCGAATCTCAAATTCCAAGAGGGTGAAAACTCCCCTCAAATATTACAATATTTGTTATTTAAAAAACGGTTAGTCTTTCGGGAAAACGCTTGGACACGCATAATTTATTTTGTTTTTTACATAATTTGAAATTTTTTAAAAAATCATACAGGGTGTTCCAAAAAGTTGGATATTTGATTAACCACGATTCTGCTTAAACTGCTTGACGTAAAAAGCTTATTTTTGGCAAACGGATTTTTCGAAAGTCAAATTCCAACGAGATGAAACTACCCCTCAAATATAACCAAGTTTACCTACATAAGTTGCTATTTTACAGCCAGAAAATGCAACAAAAAACGTGGTTTACAAAGAGGTACTTAAATAAGGCTATTTAAGTACCTTTTTATAACTCTTTTGCCCTAAGGAGGTGAAATGGGGTGAAAATGATTTTTATCTTTCATATTTAGTAACTACCAAAATATAATAATATCGCCATATTGTTTTTTCTCATGCTGACATAAATGTGAGAAAATTTGTTGTATTTTTGTTTGTATTGTTTGTATGTTTATATGTTAATGGAAATTCTTGCTTTGCTTTATCATCACCATTACAAATGATTAATTAATTCGACGCGAACGAAGTCGCGGGTACACGTTAGTATAAGGATAAAAGAAGTACCGCCAGTAGCACCACAGATTAAGTATACTATATGTATACAGATAAAAATCTTATCCCTAATTCGTGGTCCGAAAATTGTTTTTTATGACGATGTGCAAACGAGTCAAAATTTCCTGTGCGCAAAAATAAACTCGCGTAAAATAACAATAAACAGCGTAATAGAGAGATATCGCTAAACTGAATAGCGTGCATGGACGTTAATAAGGCCAGGTGTTATTTCCTTTACGTGAGGTCTTATTAACTCTCTTCATTTATAGTTATCGGATCGGAAAGAATTCTGTTCGCGTCGCGTCCGCTATTTAAACTTAACCTAACTTTGAATTTAAAACTTTGAAATTGTTTTGTTTACTAGGTATTTTAAAACTAAATGGCTAAAGTGCTTATTTCCAGTGCTTTATTGTTCAACGTCTGCCAGTGGGTTTAGAGCAAAACTCTTTATAGGTTCTTTAATATTGGAAGAGGTGGAATCCATATTTTGGGCCATATTTATTTAATTAAAACTAATCCCAGCTACTTACATATCAAATTACCTAATAAAACTAAAGTAATAATTCAAAACAATTCAAACATAACCTAAAATAAAAGATCTCGCCGGCCGGCCCCGGTTGTCAAATACCCGCACATGCCCATTTAAGCAATTTTTAAACGTTATTTAGAAATAACGCTTGGTGTAATTGATCCGCAAATTACGTCAGGCGGTAACGTTATTAGCGGGCGTTGCGTTAAAAATTGACTCGCGCATATAGTAACCATGATAAGGTACGCGTAAATACTGCATGACGCTATTCGGTTTTGCGATCTATAATAACTGTGCCGGTCAGGCGCTGTGCACAATTTTAGAGGCCATAAGCGGGCGTGCTACGTGCGCAAACTAGTCACCTAACTAGTGCCCGATTCCGAAAATTGGAACCACGAATAACAATAAAGAAAAAACAAAGATTATAATCTGTATAATCTGTGGTAGCACTCTCTACTCTACCTTAATGGAACGTAGCATTTCAGGGCTCTTACAGAATTTTACACTATCGCCATTCGCTTTGGCATTAAAATGTGCTGAAGAGTACCAAATTTCAAGAAAAGCAGTTTAAAAATGTTCTTAAAAATAAACAAAATATATTATTTTTATTTACCCTTTCGAGGGCAGTAACTTTTTTAGGAAGTATTTTAAGGCATATGTTCATAGAAACTTTTTGTTTTATTTTTATCTGTAGAATCACCCACCGATGTTAGATAAACTATTTTTTTGACACCCTGTGTATAATATGTACCAGAAAAAAAAACTAGTCACAATAGAAAAATTATTATACAGCTAAAATTTGTGCTATAAAATATAAAATGGCACGAAAATAAAAAAATAGGTAGATTCCATATAAAAACACGCGCGCTGTAGTAGTAGGTACTAAAAAATAGTCAGAAAAATATTTCTTAAATCGAAGTATATAAATATTTATTTATTTTAAAATCTTTCCGTACTAATCCATTTTATTAAGGATGATGATGATTCAAGATCAATAGAAAGATATAGCAAGATTCCGCTATAGCCTTGGAGCATTTCAAACGATTTTTTTTAAAATTCCGACAGCAGTGCCTATAATGCTTAGTTTCAGAGATACAGGGTGTAGAATTTATGAAGTAAAGTCAATATTTGGATGAAAATTGGTGTTTGGGAGTTTTTTGTCATGAGAAATTTGATTTTGATGACAATATGACACCTATTTGTAGGAGGCGCCATCTACAAGTGTCCTAACCGATTTGAAAAGTAATAACTTTTCGCCCGTTCCTGTATAAAACTAATGAGTGGAAAAATATACATTTCCGTGATTTTTTACGTGTAAAATTTATCTTGGTAAAAATCGCTACGAGCAACCTCAAGTTCTCAAGATATTTAGAACGGAAATAGTCAATACATGTCATTATTGACAAAAAACAAACACGTTCAGTAGATAGTCATTTGACTAAATAATAAATTTGGGAAATTTTTATTTTTCTAAATTAATCATAAACTTTTCTGCGAAAAAATGATGATAAACCAGTTTCTGTTGAACTTTTGGCACAAAAACATTTCAAATTTATGATTTCATTCTAACAACTATTTAGTAAACATGTTTAATTTATGTCAATGATGACAGAGGTATTGATAATTTCGATTCCAAATATCTCGAGAACCATTACTCGTAGCGATTTTTACCAAAACATATTTTTTACGTAAAAAACGTCGCAAATGTATATTTTTTTACTCAGTAGTTTTATACAGGTACGGATGAAAAGTTATTACCCTTCAAACCAGTTAAAAAATATATAGGTGGCGCCCTCTACACGTAAGAGTCATATTGACATCAAAATTAAATTTCTCATGTCAAAAAAAAACCCGCACGCCAATTTTCATCCAAATATTGACGTTACTTCATAAATTATTTGGCAAAAATCGAAATAAAATTGAAACTTCTACACCCTGTACCTCCGAAACTAATCATTTTATAACATATATTTATACGAACTTTTTTACTTATTTTTATCTGCAGAATATGCTGCCGAACTTTCCGGAATACAGTTCGGACCACCCTGTATAATAATTCTATTTCTTATAGCCGCTATTTATATATTATACCGGTTGTTTACGATTTCCTCCAATGATGGCAACACCGGCGGAAAATACACCTATAGTAAGGCGGGGCTTAATACATTGGTGTCATATTTTTGACACAATTTCCAGATTGACCTTGAACCATCATTATCCCACTTCAAACAGATTTTTGTTATATACTCTCACTGTACAATCGCAAAACCCGATGAATCAGTTCATACTGCTCGGCGTTCTGTACCATACCACCCCGGTTTAACCTAAGAGAACACAAAATAGCCAACACGTCTACGTTATTATTACTCTTTAACTGTTGAATCCCGTTTAAAATCGCCAAAAAGCACCCGGTACGACCTATTCCGGCACTACAGTGAACTACCACAGGCAGTTTGATATGCTCTGCCGATTTTTTTCGTTCGTGCCTAGTAAACTGACTCTTAAAATCGCTGATTTTGTTTAGATTTCCTAATTTCGAGTCCAGGCTACACCGATTTGAAAGAGTTTCTTTATTAAAATCCGATATAGAACCTTCCCGACTCTTATTTGTGTTAGTTTGGTCTTCCTGACATGTGACAGTTGTGGAAACCGAACATTCTTTGGTTAGGTTTTCGTTAACTACCTTTTTCCTTTGTTTGTGCGAACTTAAACCTACACTACTTTCGTTTGTACTGGTATATAAAAACTCTGTTTTACTGCGTCGAATGTCTACGGTATTAGAAAAACTAACCGTACTTTTTTCGCTAGTTACATTAAAACTAAACCTACTGTTTTCGTTAGTAGTTTTGACTACATTATTTGTACTAATACCTTGGGAAATATTGTTTTTTCTGTCACTATTACACGTGAGATCAAATTTACTGTTTCCTGCTTCTTTATTAACACAAGATTGTTCCTTTTTACTAACGTTTATACTAAAAACCTCCTCGTCATCATCATTGTTTCGTTTAGTTAGGTTAGAATCGCTCTTAATGCCTTCGATGACATCCAAAACGTCAACGGCCATCTTTAGCACTTGTTCGGGATTGGCCATCTTGTGATCCGGCCAGTTATTGAACCAATAGTGGTAGATTAACCGCGGTTCGATACTGGCGTCCGTTTTTCGAAGTTCCAAATGCCTAATTTGACATTCGTCTAGGTCTCTTTGCGTGACGTAACTTATATGGTACTTGCCGAAAGTCACGTGGTTTTTCTCCTCGAATTCGAAGATTTCTGTGTCGTATTCTGTGTAGTTTTTCTGTTCGAAGGTGAATTTGTCTCGGACCTTCGCTGTTTTGACGTATAAAAAAGACTTCTCTTCGCTGTCTGATTTTTTTCCTAGTGGAAAATAGAGTTCGCACTTGTTTCGACCTTTTTCCACCAAGCCCGTTAGCATTACGATACATTTGCACTAAAACCACAGAATTACTCTTAAATTACTAATACAGGGTGTTCAAAAAAGCGATTCCTTATTAAAAAATATGAAATACAGGATAAACTAACTAAACCTTTGAATAAGAAGACTAAGGAAGGAGCATAGCAAAAATCTTAGGTCCACCGCGAAGGGACTCAAATATGGCCGACTTAAGTTCCGGTTTATCAGTGCCGTTCTAATTTTATTTAAAAAATGTAAAACTATGATGTAGGGTAGACGTGGGGTAGACTCAATAATTTGTTTTTTTTATTTTACGTAGTGAATAAATGTTAGTAGTTATTAAAATTGTTATAAAAATATAAAATTCTAATAAAAATAGATAAGTTATAATAATTATTTATTAACACAAACATTCGATACGCTACTGAAGCAGGTAAGTCAAACTGACGTATCTGAATTCTTTGACATCTAATCTTTGACAAGTAGTAAATAAAAGCAAAAATGCAAGAAAAAAATATATAATTAGTTAATTTAAGTGAATTTCATAAATGATCGGTTTTGTATTGAACATATGTATATTATATAGTCACTTACTAGTGAAAAGTTGTTCCATTATTTCACTCGATTTTTGCCGAGATCTACCGCACACTACACAACCAACTATTTTAAAGTCTTTTTCGATAAATTGCAATAGTGTCACTGTTAATTTAAGTTCTGCCACAATTTCCATCTAGATTTACTAGCGTTATACAACTATCAGTAGTATATATCATATACCTATCTATCTATTATTATACAACTATCAGTATAAATAATAAATAACATAAAATAACCTCCGTAAAGACCGACCAATCCACAAAATTTCAAATCAACTTCAAATGTGTCAAATAAATCGTCAAACAGAACTGTCGTCAAGGATCCCCACCCTAGAGTCCTTTTTCCGCCCAGCATGCATGAATACATGGATAGCATTATGCTCCTTCCTTAGTCTCCTTATTCAAAGAACTAAACCAACCAAACCTAACCAAACTTTTTACAAAAAAAAAAAATCATTTTTAAAAGTTTAACATCTTTAAAACTATGCATTTTAAGTCCCACGTTTATAGGATTTTTCTTCCATATTTTTTGAAGAGGAATCAAACCTTAAAATTTAGCCGTGTATTTTTCGAATGCTCTGTATATGCAGGGTTGGATAACGACACGTAGAAAATTAATTTTCTACGTATATGTCAAGAACTACGGAGAAAATGTAGAATATTAAGTAGTATGTATAAAATCTGAGTACATGCTTTTTTTGTTGAATGTAATCTTTTTTTGACATACATATTATACATTTGTTAAGTAATAAATAACAATTAGGGTACTAATCAATGTGTTATTAAAGTATTTAGAATAAATATAAACTCAAAATAGGTTTCAATATGTAACAAAACTTATTTTCTACGTCTGGACATGTAGAAAATTAGTAAAATATTCTATTTACCCAACCCTGTGTATATGTAAAAAGTACTAAAAATAAGCGATACCAATTAAACTTTTAGTTACGTAATCGAGGGCGCGATTTTTAAATTAATTATTGCCAACCATGGACCTATTCAACGCCGGGCTGGCTAGCTGGAATTCAAATTTCCCGCCGGGGATTCAGATGGTAGCTCTGCTGTAAAAAATGTCAAGTTGCCACATTTATTTATTTATTTCCTGACACTGTATTCGTTTTGACACTTTAGTTTGGTATTATGAGTTTTTGGTTTAAATAAGTAGTATTGTAATACTACTATTGTTAGACCCTTTTTTAGTACAAAGTGTACAAGATAGCTTATTAGCCCTTGCAAAAAACTCATAGCAACCTTATTAGAATATTTTGAACAGAAAAGCGGTAGTAACGGCCTTTTATGTCCCTTAAATGCTGTTAAGAAGGTGAGTTTCGTTGATGTAGATAATAACTGTTTATATATTTATAATTAATTTATTTTTGTTTCCTAAAATATATTGATTAAAAGAAAATACGTAAAAGTGGGCAACGCTGTACCGGTCAAGCTTAATCACGTGACTAAAAGTTTATTTGGTATGATCTATATGTAAAATTTACCTGTGAATACCAGACCATTTCCCAAAAATCCGTACAGGTATTGGACAATGGACCCTGTGTAGCGATATATGCGGTTTCAGTATAGTCGGGACCCTAAAAAATGTCATTATGTTAAATAAGTTAAAAAAAAAACAGAAAATAACCTCACTTTTATGTAATTTGCATGTATATATCCCCCAACTGGTAAAGGTACCCTACTATGTTCATTTGGCAGTACCCCTTTATACCTATTTTTGCTCTGACTGCCAGAAACGTAACATTTTTCCTGCAAATTAAGTGGTACTTCCCAAAATTCCTGATGTAGTTTTGGTACTCTCTGAAACGTACATTTTAATTTAAAAAAAACAACTCTAATTGTAGAGTCTCTTTTACCTCACAAACTTGTTTTAGTTTTGGTATAGATAAAATATTTCCCGCTGTTTGTAAATACTGGATGTTCTGTAAATGAAGCTTAAAATCATCTGATAAAAGCTGAGATGCTTCTAGGTCGGGCTGTCTGGGAAACACTGCCTTTCGACTGTTTCCTGAGAAAAAAAAAAGAAAAAAATATAAAGGGAGCGTCCATAAATTACTTAAGCGTTTTTTGAAAATTTTTTGATGTGTAAAAATATGATGTAGCGTAGACTCAATAATTGAGTTTGTTGTCTTATTTTACTTTGTCAATAAATGTTGGTAGTTATTAAAATTGTTATAAAAATACATAACTCTAATAAGAATAGATAAGTTATAATAATTATTTATTAACACGAACATCCGATACGCTACTGAAGCAGGTAAGTCAAATTGATGTATCTAAATTCTTTGACATCTAATCTTAGGCAAGTTTAAACAAAAGCAAAAATGCAAAAAAAAACATAATTAGTTAATTTTATGTGAATTTCATTAATGATCGGTTTACTGATAGTCGCTTACAGCGCAGCGGATAAAGAATACTGTACCGTAGTTCTGCTTTCAGTCGACAGAGTGGGTTGTCGTCGGAGACAGTGTTGCCAGAACTACAGATTAATTCGTAGATTTACGGACTTTGGGTACAGTACGCTAATAATACGAATTTTCTATCATTAAACAATTTAATATAAGATTATATGATTAAACAAATAATGGCGCCAGAGTTGGCTTGGAAATGAAGATCGCTGTTATTTTATATGTAAAATATTATGGTAAATGTCAATAGTCTTCATTTTCAAACAAACTAAACGATTTTTGTTGTTTATTCTATGTTTAACACGAATAAATTTTCAATACATAAACGCGGATTTTTCCTCCAAAGATATTTTCGTCAAACGTATTACAGATATTACACATTTTAAAATGGCAACACTGTCGCTTTCAGTTCCACACCGTCTTCGATATGCCTTTGCTAGCCGAAATGGAAAAAATGAGTGTTTTATGCGTTGGCCGCAGAACGAGTGGTGGCTCCACCGTATAGCACTTGAGACGTAAGGGAAAATCAAATCAGCCTTGTCACGAATTTGCCCAATAGGTTGCATATCTTCCCAATTGTTTCAATCAACGCTATCACCACTCACCTTTGCAATTCCTTAGCTCCAAAGATTCCTTACTTTCGTTTTCACAAAATCCACAGGGCGGTACATAAAGATTCTCGTTTGACAGCGATTTTCTTCTGGACTTTGAACAGCAACTGCAACGCTTCAAGTTTTGGCATCTAGCTTTACACGACATCACCTTAGGAACGGATTCGTAGATTGTACAATTCCCACAAGCCTCCTGTGATTTTCTTCGATCTGAGTTAACCTATAAACACAATATACAGTATAAAAAATGTACAGTGTGTCCCATTTTCGTGTGTTTTAAAGGGTTTCTCGCTTATGAGTAGAGATACAAAGATGCGGGTTGCACATCACTGTGCTACTTTTTTATGAAACTAAAGTTGTTATACGGAGATTTGTTCTAGCCCTCTTAGTTCCTGAAATACAGGGTGAATTTGTAATGGTTGCATTTTTTGACTCCTCTTGTATACCGGGTTCGTCTCAAAAGTGGCTCAACCCTATAGCTTTTTTGTTTTTTCAGGTAAAAAAACGAGATTTGGTATGTTAGTATATGACATAAATTAGGATTGATTGACATATTCAATTGTTTTTGGTTACTTCCTGTTTCACAGGAAACGATGACAACTTTTGATTTTTCAATGGCACCCTCCGTATATTTTTATTTTATTCAATAGAAAATGACACTCTGAATAGAATGACATATCATATGTCAACTTTTGACATTTTCGCATATGGTTTACTTGAAATTGTAGCATGCGGATCATAAGGACAATTTGACTCGAAATGCCAAGTGTGTGGTACCAATTTAATCTCAAAAAATGCTTATTCCAAATATGCTAATGAGCCACGCTTGTTCCATTTGAAAAAATTGAGATATGATAAAAAATCGATTTGGGCATCTTTTAACTGGCCAGGAAAGACACTAACAACATTAGACGATCAAATCTATTTTTCCAAGGCTTTTTGATTATAAATTATTAGTGTTTTTAACACAGCCATCGTTTCAGAAATTTAAAATACAATTTTGTTTTATAGTTCAGTCATTGGGGATACAGTTAGGAAAAAAGTCCGGGAGTTTTGCAACTTTGCAGGTTTATAGGTTTTGGGGTCCCTAACTAAAATCCATAAAATGCACATTTTCAGACTTGCCGCCGGCGCCGCCATCTTGCCAAGATGGCGCCCAAAATCGGTATTTTGTGAATATCTCGAAAACTATGCGTTTTTTGCGAAAATTTGAGGAGAGCAAAATTAAAGATAATAAAATTACCTATAAAAAGGTTTTACGAAAATTTTCGCTAAAGTCAACCGTTCAGGCACAAAATCCCTGGAAATTTTAGAATTTTGCGTAAAATATGATATATTACGTATAGTCGATTTTCCGAAATCAAATGTCGATTAGGGTTCACTAAAACTAGTTTTAGTTTAGTTTTATTCAATTTTGTCATAAAACAGTGGCGTATCATTAATTCGCTCATTAATTTATGAATAATTATTTTTAATTATTGAAAATGTGTACTTGTTTTCACACCACCCAAGAGGTAAAGTACATGGCACGTTTATTTTAACGTGGCCTCCCCGGAGGCCTACTCCACTAGGTAAATTAAAAACTTTAACTTATTTGCACAAGCCCGACGGATCTGGCTCATTGATGTCAAAGTCGATCGTGTCTGCTGTGGTGGGCTCATCAGGGTGGTCTCTCAATACGTCCAACTCTTCATCTTCAGCCGCCAGAGGGATATCTACAGGCAAGTCCAACTCCTCTTCATCGGATTCGTCGAGTGACACTTCAGTGACGTTGTCACAGGATTTCCCATTGCAGTATGCACAAATCATTGAACATTTTAATCCTGCTTTTCTGCATCCGCAGGCTTTACCATAGTTGTTGGCTTTGCATTTACAGGATAAAAATGCCAACAGAGATTTTGGAGCTGGATCTTTCAACGTTGTGACTGGAGTAATGCCTGTTTTTGTTTTCTTCCAACCCCATTCTTCGGCATCTTTGGTACAACCAGACCAATGCTGAACCTGGTGGTAAGTTCGCAATAAATGCTATCCAGCACGACAATTAATTATTCATAAATTAATGAACGAATTAATGATACGCCACTGTTTCATGACAAAACTGAAGAAACTAAACTAAAACTAGTTTTAGTGAACCCTAATCGACATTTGATTTCGGAAAATCGACTATACATAATATATCATATTTTACGCAAAATTGTAAAATTTCCAGGGATTTTGTGCCTAAACAGTTGACTTAGGCGAAAATTTTCATAAGTCTGGAAATGTGCATTTTATGGATTTTAGTTAGGAACCCCAAAACCTATAAACCTGCAAAGTTTCAAAACTTCCAGACTTTTTTCCAAGCAGGCCCCTTTTTTGATCCCCAATGACTGAATTATTAAGAGAAAATGCCAACAGTTGACATATGATATGTCAATCTATTCAGAGCGTCATTTTCTATCAAATAAAGTAAAAAAATACTGAAGGCGCTATTTAAAAATCAAAAGTTGTAGTCATTTCCGGTGAAACAGGAAGTGGCCGAAAAGAATTGAATACGTCAATCAGTCCTAATTTATGTCATATACTAACATACCAATTCTCGTTTTCTTATCTGAAAAAATAAAAAAGTTATAGGGGGTGAGTCACTTTTGAGACGCACCCGGTATAGGTTATCTTACAACTATCGAATAGTTGAAAAATGTGTCCCATAGAGTTTTTCACGTAGCATTCAGTGACGTAACTATTTTTTCGCTGTGAGCTGTCATTCTGGAAATATGACCCAAACTTATGATTTTTTTTAAATGGGACACCCTGTATATTTTTATTAATTTATTAGCCTTCTTATAAGAGGTAAATAATAAATCTTATTTTTACGTGAGGATGGCACGTTTTTTGAAACACCCTGTATAAAATTAAAATTTTTCCTTACCTTAGCTTCACATTTCTTCACGCAAACACACTGTTGTGCAGTGCTCATCGAGCTCAAATACAAATTAGACACGCTTTTCGCAGTGTTCAACCTGCTCAACGGCACTGGCTTCACTTCAGTTATATTTTGTGAAGAGCCTAAATCTATTGTGAGACTGGCATTGGAACCTCTGCGTTCCAAAAGTCCCTTGGCACGTATTTTCTGGGGCTCCGGAGTGGGGCAATCGGAGAAATCCTGTAGGGCATTGATTTCCGGTAGCGTTTTCAGTGTTTGGGAGCCGCTAATGCTGTTGTTCGATGCGAATTTTTTCAGGTTCGAACTGAAACTCGGGGCTAGTGTGCTTTTGGGTGCGCCGTCGTCGAAATCGCATGATAGTTTCTGCTTGAACTGTCTTTTGGGGGTGTTGGGCATAGAAAAAACATCACGTGATACCTGAAAAGTAAACAAATAAATATTGAGTAAAAGAAAATTTGCACATTTTTTGAAATTAGGACGATGGCTGAACAGTCTTTATTTACATATCATCCCGATCAAACATCGTTTTCGACAAAAATCGATGATGCCAAATTTCAGCGGATTGCCTTAGATCTAAGGCTTGTATTTGAAAAAGAAGTTTGTTATTAATGTTTTTTCGGTACCTACAGAAACTGCGTACTAAATATATGTGTAGGTATATCGTTTTTTAGTTAAAATACATAGATTATACATTTGAAATTATTTTTAGTTTTCTAATTAAATCAAATTTATTAGGGAAGTAACTGTGACAACGCTGGTTCAGGAGGACTGCAGTGGGATTCTGCGGTGGGATTCTGTAAGCTCCGTAGCAAGAAATTTCCTGTCTAGCCTATGCTATTTGTATACGATTGATGAGTCACTAGACAAGAGAAGTGTTTACAGAATCGGGCCCCTGTTTGGTTTTTATGGGTTTTACGATGTTTTTAATACGAAGAGTAAAAATGACTCCAACTTTTGACGCATTCATTCAAATTATGTTTAACAGTGTTGCCGCGCAGTGTTTTTGAACTATTGTATTTTTCAAGTAATTTTTACTGTTTTTCTTTGCAAAAGGACTGTTTAAAGTTTTTTTAAATATCTAAGATGGTTCGTCAGTGCTTAGTTGCACCCAAGCTTAGTCCCAACTGAAAGAGCCATATGAAATATATCTGCAAAACAATTAAAAATTTAGGAACACTTTAAATGCAAAAAACGTTCTTTTTTTAATTCTATATCTAAAACAAAACTATTATACAGGGTGTTGCATTTAAAAACATCGAGATAAGAGCATTTCAAATATCGCAATGTTGTCCACGCCATAAAAAATACACTGTATGAGATAATGTGGAGTTTCCCTTCACGGATTTACTCTGTTATCCTTGGTGTTTAGAAAAATATAGCTAAGCATTAATAAAGTTAAATTCACTACTGGTTATAGCCTCTTTTCTGACATACTGTTTTTACCAGAAGTTTCAGTAAATAAAAAATGGCATGGCAACACTGCATAGTGCTTCAAATAAAAGTAATCTACTATATACAAAATTTTCATTACCTTTTTTTGGAACACCCTGTATACAACAAAAGATTTTAAGAACATGTACTTTTATAAACCATGCAACATTTAAGTATATATATAAAACTTTGTTTCATATCTAACTTAACAAAGACAATATTGAAGTTTCTTGCACTAATGGTCCACTCTGTATATTGATTAATTACTTTATAAAATCAATCTTTATTTATTAATTAGCTGCTCCATTAGTTATCCTATCATTCAATAGCAATAACTAATATTAACCCCTATACACCACCTACAGTAACCAATCATTAACAATAAATAATATTAGTCTTCAACGGCACATAATTATTAACATTATATTTTCCCTGTAATATCTAAAAAGAAATTAAAATTGCTCTTCTTACACAATATAACAAAATCAATCTTGATTTAAATATCTTCTTTAAAAAGTTTGACATAAATTTCTCTGTAATACAAAATGGGGATCTTTTATCACCATTTTTGAAATTTACATGAGATTTTTATGTTCAGAACTTCGATCTAACTCACCATATATATATCTACGATAAAAATAACACAGAAGATTTACCTCTAATGTATTTGTTTGTGGCTGGGGCTCGCTGTCCAAACTGACTGCCTTAAGTTTTCTCGATAATGTCGGTGTTTTAGGGCTGTGCACCACCAAAACAGGTTGAGTGTCTGTTGAAAGCGTTGCTTGATCCTTTAAATCAAGAGCAGGGAAATTACGCTCTTTTTTTGTGTTATTTGTTGATGTTGATTCACTATTTTCTCTATCATCTCCTGTATTACTATCCATAACTACTTACAGTCTACTAAAAATGTCATTAAATCCATTTAATAATTAGGCATTTAAGATGAGCAACATCAAGGCTATTAAAACTCATTTGTTTATTACCTTCCTAGGTCACTGCTCACAAATAACTCAAACCAACTTAAAATAATACAGAGCCTTTAAACTTTTAGTTTCTTGCACTGTTTACCTTGATCATTTGACTGTATACTGTCTGGTGATGTCAACAGAGAAATTCTAAACATCTTTGAACTGTTTACGGGTATTTTCCTCGGGAAATTTAGGAAAACTGTGGCAAGAAAATTCAGACATTTTACACTCGAATTTGTAAACACTGGGGCTAGTAGAGTAGGTCATCAACGCTCGCTAGATTTTCTCAAAGAAACGTCAGATGATTAGATCAATAAAGCTAGAATGCATGAATGGGACGAATTATTATCAATGAGATAACCTGTTTCGGCTGATAACACGCTAAATTAGACACGGGAATCATTAAAACCAACATTTATAATTTGAATCAACACCAATATTTTCCATAAAATAATGAAAACACTACTTTTAAATGTATTTTCGACCATACTGTTTTACTGGTTGCATAGATTTAAGATTTGACGTAAATGCCATCTAATTTTTTCCTTTCATACAATTATACTTCATTCTAACTTTCATTTAAACTATTTTAATATTTTACATTATTTGTTTAGTTTATTTAGCGAATAAAAATGCATTAAAAATAAGATCTGACAAATAATTTCTAATATGGAATCACAAGATAAAAATCGTAATAAAACCGTAGTGAATTTTCATATTTTAATAAAAAAAATATTATTAATCAGTTTTTATTTGTATATTTCCTCTATATAATCTTTTAGTAGTGTTATATATTTATTATATATACCTGTATATACTAATAAAAGTCTTAAACAGTGTAATTATTTCAATATTTAACACAAACAATCATTAAAATTGTTTCCTTTTGACATTCGAATCAAGCGGGTGCGATTGAAGTTTGTGTATCTGTCAAAGAACGTGGAAAACACAGATTGCTAGATGAGGAAAAGTTCAAAAGTTTTGGTGAAAAATGTGAAAATTGTGCCGTAGTTAGTGAAACTTTTAACAAGGAAAATGTTTTACGTTATTTAAGAGTATCGATGGACAAATGGATACTATAGCTGCAGATTTATCGGCGTTTTTAGGCAAGTCTCCTCTTTATCATAGTTAAAAAAAACTTTTTAAAACAAGAACAGAAAATATTCACGAGATTGTTTTAATCTTTTGCTTGTTTCCGAGTATATGTAGAATTTTCTATTTGAATGATTTATTGGTTGTTAATATCTAGAACGCCAAAAATTACATCTTTTGTTGTATGGTTTAATAACTAAATTGGATAATACGTTCTTAAATGCAATGCTCCTTTCTTTTGCTCTAGGGGGGAGTATGCTATATTTCCCAAGCTTAAACTATTTTATCATTTAACATTATAACAACGCATGACAAAGAATATTTGTATAGTTACACAGAGATTTAAATAAAGTTCAGTAACACAAAGTTTTAGAATAACTTTTGGATGCTGTTATGTTTACATTTTCCATTATTTTGACGTGCTTGTTTAATGTAGCCCATGTATTCAACAGGTGGTCATGTAAAATCATATGATCTAGGTATCTTAATAGCTCTGTTTAATCATCTTGCAAACATCATGATTCCATGATTTAAAAACAAATATGACATTAAAAACAATTGACGTAAGTTACTGTTTTTATGAAAAAAAATATCAAAATATTTGAATAATTAGTATTTCAATAGAAGTAAAAATTAAATTTCCGTAAATATAACTCAGTTAAACAATTATTTAGGATGTCCATTTAAATGATTAGTGTTAATATCACAGTAAGTAATAAGATTTAAACACAAATGTAATTGTGGTAATGATTTTAAATTAAGTAGCCTGGAAATAAGTCTGAAAAGTTAAATTTATAGTTATTTGTAATAGTAGGGAGGGCCAAGTTGCTAAATATGGATTTACTTGAGTTATTGTGAAAATTAGGGCTCAAGTTTCGTTTACTTGAAATCCGTTATGTAAGAAAGTAAGAAATATTCTTTCTTTATTTAGTATTTGGAAGCCTTTTCGAATAATGTCATAACTATTTTTCTGCGGAAATGCATTATTTTGAGTTTTTCAACTTTAGAACTGCTGAATAAAAATAAAAAATAGCTGAAACCAGTTACATGAAAACACGTATCTGTTTTTCATTCTAGAAATTTTTCTAAACATAGACATGCAAAATATTTCTTGCGGAAGTGTACCATGTTCATTTATTGATAAAATATTTAAAGATTTGAAAAGTACTCGGCAATTGGAATTCTTAAACAGCCGCGTTTTATGATTGCTTTGGATAGGTTTGTTTTGTTTTGGTTTGGTTTATTGGTTCATTTTTGTTTTTTTCTCGGTACGGTATTTACTGTCCTCCATTCACGCAGTTGTGCAGCTCTGAACTGTTTTGAAATTGAGTCATAAAGTTCAGAACTGTTCCGCGCCATATGGAGGCACCAGACTATCGGCGCACAGCTCCTTTCAGAACCGTTCTGAGCTTAGATTAACAATAAAATCGAAATCAAAATGAAATTTCTACACCCTGTATCTCCGAAACTAAGCATTTAAGGACATGGTACAAAGAATACAAGGTATGATATTGCGCAGGTTGGTCGCTACGTCACAGGTGATAACAGGCGTTATTGGTCAGCACGCTCCGCGCGCCAGTTCAAATCGTCAAGATATTGTTATAAACCTGTTTTTTTGTTTATATACCGTCATTGAATTATCGCTAAGCAAGTTACTGTGGAGCAGTGCATAAGGAGTCGGGCTAGGAAGCGAGAGACCGGAGTTCGAATCTCGGCCGGAACATCACTTTTTATTTATTTTTTTTTAAATACTGTTGTATTCTATAGTTTACATTTTTGTAGTATAAAAAAAGAACTATTTATTCTGTTATTTTTTAATCTCCGTTATTAATATAAATTGATTGTTAGTACAATACCTCATTTAATATAAAATAATATTCTACTTTTTGAAATGTATCGGGCCCTAATTGTACCTAAAAGTAATATATTTTTAGTGATATACCATATTGTAAACTATTTAATATTTTAGTCACTTAAAAAGTTAATTTGCATTGAATAATTGCCTACCATTAAAGGAAATTTGAGCTATATAATCCTTGATGGGCATATTCTGGGTATGCAAATACTTCCTTTAAATTTTGGGTGTCGTTCAACCGATTTATTCTCAAAACCAGAAACTTCTACATATAAAAAGAAGCAGAGGTCACTAATTATAATAAACTTCACCCTTGGTATTACTTCCACTAATTATAATAAACTTCACCCTTAGAATTACTTCTATCACAATTACAATACGTTCATCTGCATTGGCATTTTCTACTTTTCGATGGGAAACAATAAACTTCCCAATATTTTTTAAATGATGTAACAATTCCTCTTGTGGTTACTTTTCCATAGATATCCTCAACTCTGTCCTCATGTGAATTCAGAGGCAATGAAAATGAAAATTATTTACCATAAACATCGCAAACTAAAAACCTAATAAACAATTTTATACCGAATATAGAAATAAATTCAGTATTCTTACCTATCGTCCAAATCCATGTTAATAGATAATTATTATTTTTAAATATATTTTTGGAACTGCTGGTTTTAGTAATTATTAAATTAAACGAACTAAAAAGTCTTAAAAATAAACAATTCTTAACCATAACCCCAAAAGTGCAGATCTCCTGTCAACTTTCTTTATTTTTTATTTATTCATTATTTTCCTAGTGACGTCACAGGTGGTATGCGCGAACTGAACGAAATTGGAGCCGCTATCGATCATACCTTGTATTCTTTGTACCATGATTTAAGGACATACATTTATATGAACTTTTTTACTTATTTTTCCTGTAGAATATGCTTTCCGGAATACAGTTCGGACCACCCTGTATATGGGATGGGATGTTTTGTTGTGTTATGTTAGGATGGGAAGTTATTTCAAGTTAAAATAAACATTACCCTTTTTTTTTCGTAAAATGGTCCTCCTAGTAATTTGTAATTACTACATTTTTAGTTTTTTGTAAAAAAAAACGCTACGTTTCCCCTTAGTGTTATTCTGGCTCACTTGTTAAATCACAAAATCTCAGCTTAGGCTCCCGTACTATAACAGCTTAACCATTAAAAAAGTGTGTATTATCCTTAAAGCTCTCCATGGAATGCATTACATGTTTGTGAAATGGGATTGTCCGTATACATATAAAGGTAAAAAAAAAGTGTATTTAAATAGGTTTTATTATTGAAGGTCATCTAACTCTGATTTCAGATGATATTAAATGAAACTTGATTCTGTGATTTTTTATTAGATGCACTTACATACCGGGTGTTTCTCAAAAGTGGCTCACCACTATAACTTCTTTATTTTTTCAGATGAAAAACGAGATTTACTTTATTAGTATATGACATAAATTAGGATTGATTGACGTATTCAGTTGTTTTGGGTCACTTCCTGTTTCACCGGTAATGACTTTTGATTTTTAAATGACATATCATAGATTGACAGTGGATTGACATAGAAATGACATATCGTAGATCAACTTTTGATATTCTCATTTAAAAAAATTGGCGCGGGGAGGCACGTATAAAGGCACGCCCATACTAAAATATGTTAATAAAAGTTGGTGGGCAGTTCTTTTAGTTTCAAAGTAAAGGAATTTTTCCAATTTTGGTCCGCGGTTATTTTCCCTATCCGTCACCTGGGGTCGCGTCCGATGGGAGTTTGCAGTTCTCCACACGGATTTTCTCAAAAACGGACTATGGAAACACGGAATATCTCAAAAACTGCGACTTTGACTGATTTTGATGTTATTACAAATTTTGTTGCAAATATTATTCCTAATCTTAAATTGAAAACCGCGTTTCGCTAGCTACTGTAATTTTGGAGTTACGATTTTTAAAAATTTTTAACCCCCTTGGTGACGCCATAAAAAATACTCTGTATAGGATAATGTAAATTTTTCTACACGAATTTATTCTGTTATCCTTCGTGTTTCGGAAAATATAGCTAAGTATTAACCTTGATTATGAATATATTCACTCACGTTTTTTATCACTTTTCGGATATAAAGCTTTTAAACAAAGTTTTAGTAAATAAGAAATAGATTGGCAACAGCGCAGAGTGCTTCAAATAAAAATAGTGTACTATATGCAATATTTTATGCCGAATCCAAATATTTACAGAAAAATGGGGGGTGCAATCTAAAAAAAAATTATCGTAACTTTTTTATGCGACACCCGGTATACAACGAAACATATTTAGGATATGCCCCTTTAGAAACTATGCAACATCTGTATAAAACTTTTTTTCATATTTTCGACAACATCGACGTTATTGGACTTCCTCGCACTAATGGGCCACCCTGTATGTTAATAAGAATATGCTAGTATAAATTATACCATTCAGGTGCGTGCTGTGTGGGTAATTTGTCTAAATGATTGATATTAATCAACGCCAAATCGTTTTGTTTCTATTTTTATGGTTGGTTTGTTTGGGGTTGTTACAGAGGGTGGTTTTGTCATATACAGGGTGAGTTTCCTACGATGTTCTCTCTCTCTCTCTCTATGGGTATCTCGGAAACTACTGGAGATACAGAGTCGCTTAAATGGGGAAAGAATTGCAGTTTTGTGGGGTCATAAATATGCGCCTTTCAGATTTTTGAAAAAGTTCATGGCTTACTAGATATTTCGAAAAAAACAAATTTCGGCTATTTTAAAAATTGTCCCTAATTCCATTATAAGCTATTTTGGACAAAAAGTTTTCAGATAAAAGTTGTAGATAATCACATCCTTTATGAGACTGTGTCCTCCGTTTTCTTCTAAAGCCTGTCATTTTTGACATATGTTTTTTTAAATGGAAACCATAGTTGGCCATGACTTCATAAAAAGCGCCATTTTTTAAGCGTTTCAGCGATATAAGCTATAATATGTTTTCTTCGAAAAATTACTGAGTTATAGCCATTTCTTATCATTTTTAAACAATTTCACTTAGTTAGCCATGGAAACAAGTTTAATCGTCTTTGCTTTCAGAAATGTGAAGCTGTCACATCCAAACTTTGTAAATTAAAATAAGCAAAAATTGTAAATATGAATA